GTCCTACAAACTGGGACGGCGGGATGTGTTTCAGCTTAAAGAGCCAGCCATTCAGGTAATCGGCAGTTCTGTGGCCATCATGGCGGAAAAACTCTTCTTCGGGAAAAGTCTGAGGCTGTAGGTTCAGATTAAGGTTTTTTGGTTCAGTCTTCAGGAGATGTGTTTTCTACGACGTGTTAGGGAGAAGCATGAACACGAGGGGATGCCTACCACCTGGTACTGGGGCATGCATGGTGGACGTCTGTAGAAAGGCCGGTGGAAGGGAAGAATGTGCGGGCTGCTTCACTCCTGTGGGGAAGATGATATCAGGCGGTCTTAGCTCTATGAGAATTGGGTGATGTAGACTGTAATTGGGAAGGAACATAAGGCCATGTGGGTATTCTCCGCTTCAACAGACTGCATGACGCCAAGCAGTAAAGTCTGAACAGTCTTACGTATTTCTGTTGATTTACTATGCACGTGTCTTTAACCAAGAATCTTTGGCAAAACTTGGACGTTACTTAGTGAATCAAACAGGCTTGGCAGTAACATTTAAAAGTTATTTAGATAAGTGTAGAAAGAAATGCCCAAGTGTTACTGAATTTACATGAAATAAATGAAGCTAAGTTCCGGTTGATGTCTGCCTCCTGTTGATCGTTTGTCTATTTAAAGCAAAATTGCGGACAGAGAGAAACGGTAAGGAAACGTTAAATTATTACACAGTTGAGAAATGCCCTTGTGGCGTAAGTCAAACATTTTCACCTGTGCTCAAGACCCGTTCAAAATGTTTTACTTATTTAAATTGTATAAGCTTTAGATTAAAGGAATATCGTCTTGTGTTGTGGAGAGAGATTCAAATTACAGGTTAAAACACACAGTCCAGATGTCTGTTTTAATGCATTCAGAACAAATCAGCTGACCCACGTCACATGACAAAGTGTTTACACCAGATGACGTGACAATCGCCGCTTCAATGCTTTCAGTAAGCTGTTAAAGTCCGCTCGCATCGTCCAGGAAGTTGAATCTGACACGATGAAACGTTGTGTTGTCTGTGCGTGGTGCCGTTGATGTCAACAGTCAGCTGCAGTTGTCCGTAGCGTGGACCGATCACTTCCACCACACATAAAGAAGCGAGTTGGTTTACCACAAGAGCAACCGCACAATATTCCAGCTATATGACAGTATCTCCTGAATGGGTCATATATGCAAGGGGACGCAATCACATCCTCGGGGCGTCCATACTTATTTTTGTGTTTGTCATCTCAAAGGTTTTCCCCAGAGTGGTGGACGGAAAAAGAAAAAAAAATAGGAAAAAGGTACCTTACTGCAGACTTTCTATTCACGGCTTTGACGATCTATACCAAATATTCGACAGTTTAAACATATTGCTCGACTGTTGAGAGCATGCTGAACTCGAAAACAGACATTTAAAGACATTGTGGGAAAAGGTCTGCAAAGAGGAAAACACGTGCAGGTAGAAAGGAAACCAGCACCATTAAGTCAACATTGTAAGTAAACAACATTCTTACATTGACCTATTTCAAGTAATAAAACATATAACAGGTTCGAATCAGAGTTGAAATCACTTAATCACTTAGACTCCCCACCCCCACCCCCACCCCCACCCCCCGTAAACACACACACCAAATATGTATCTTTCTTAAATCCATATTTCATTTATCAAATGAGAAAGACACCTTCCCAGCGCGTGACACCTTCGTTACACTCTCGATAACATCGCTGCCGTCATTACAAGAATCTTAATTTTTTTTCTCTTACCTTAAATTTAGTAACGTTTATATTTTTGTTCATGTCTAGTGAATTTTGAAAACCAACCTCCCCCTGACATTCTTACTATACCAATTAAATGACAGTTGAATTTAATTAGCAACTAAAAATGACAAACAAGGAAAATAATTTAGCAGGGGTTCGCTTTGTTCAACCATGTAAGCAAGGGAGATAATCAGTAATTTCTAAACTCTCCTCAGTGTGTGAATGGGCTATCGCTGTGAGGAGCTTGAATTTCCCTTTTGAACTCGGAAAATTGCTCACGATGTGGCATTCGTGACCAACTCGTCACGGAACGTCTTCGGAACGAGCCGAATAGCGGGTTACGGAAAGGGGCGAGTGGTGACGAATGACTATGTGGAAAGTTGAAGTTAACACACTGTATGGGGCCCTTCATATGGGAACCCTACTCTTGTCTATCAAAACACGATTATCTCCCTTAGACCATTATCTGCATTGATGGCCCGGCACGGCTTTCCGCCTGAGCAACACACCGCGCAGGCGGGGTAATGTTTCAATGTTTATTAACGTCTCGTGTTTACCTCTCTCTTGATTTATTGTTCGTTATTTATTGTTCGTCTATTGGGATCTTGCGAAGACATTTTATGTCACACAAACAGACCTACTGGAAATATCCTAAGCGCCAAATGCCTTGTTGAAAATATAATCAATCAGAGGCCATATACCGATATATGGTCTCTGGATCAATCTTTTAGGATATCATTGTGGCACAGTGAATATCATAGTTACCGATTTACCGAAATACATTTAGGCATAAACCCATATGACATTACATCAAAACTTTGACGTCACAACATATGTTTTATGATGGCAAGTAATGCGCAGACGACATGACACATATTTTAGGATTTACCGATCTGAAGCCCTGCCATTAGTAGCAATATAGGTATGTCAAGAGATGCAACGACATGTACCTAAGGGAGCATCTTCCCGAGGCAGAAGAGTGAACTGACTATAAAAGTCCAGTTTCCACCCTTGCCGAACTAGGCTGGTATTATGGAGTTACATTTTGGCTGGACTAACGAGTCTGTGCATAGTCCAATCATAATTGCGCACCGAAATCGTATTCCGGTTCGTAAACTGTCGAGCAGAATTCGATCGTTTGCAGGATTTACAAAGCATGTTCACCGCCAACTCGTTGTCAGCAGATACTGTTGAGGCTTGAGGCCATTAAATACAGAAAGTCAAGCTTCATCCCAGCGCGTGACACCTTCGTTAGTCTCTCGATATCATCGCGAACCCCTTGAGACCAGTTACCACCGTGAGGCGGCATGCGTCACCCCTCGCACGTTTCCGAAACCTACTACAAGGCTCGTCCCCCTCTCGTCGAAACGTCGCAAGCCAATCAGAATGCGCGCCAAGATATGGGTACTCCGATAAAAATAATCCCGAGTATCTAAATTAATTTTGGCAATATGCGTTTGAATATTTGAATATTGTCAGTTCCACACCGCAGTGTATACAGATAACAGAATTGTGATCTATATAGAGGTTATCACGCGAGTGTGTTTGGAGATGGTAAATGTCCTGTATTAGGAATAAACATTTTATTTAGCGAGCCTTGATACGCTCGTTATCATATAATGTCATTCTTCAATTCTGTGCTCGAAAATATCTTTCCATTTCTCACAAACATTGCAAGTTTTCCTGGAATGTGCGCATTAATATATATTACGTCAGAGGGTAAGTGATGTGTCAGTCGGACTGTGACAGTAGCCAATACAGTTCGTACTGAAACCACCTGTTTCTGATATACAGTGGCGTAGCTACATATGCAAAAAAAGCAATTGCCTGCACACATTTGTTTACTGGCCTTTTACGGCAATCCATCGGTGTGTACGAGAGAGTAACTGCCCTTCATCAAAGGGAAGCTACTAAAACCCTATTCTGTGAGACGTTGTTGACAGTCGGTCTGTCCTGTCATAGCGTTACGAAGTGCAGTCAGATGTACACACAGCGACAAAACGAAACTAGGTAACAATTCGAACATATTTCGGCCAAATCCAACTGTTTTAATTTGTGGAAAAGGTCCCAAGCCGCCGAGGTCTACAAGCACATATATATGAGTATATATATATAAATGAGTCTAAAAAGTTGTCGTTTCAAATTTCGAAAAGACGATTTGAAATTGTCCACACTTTACTGAATATGTCTGAGAAATTCACTGCTGAAAATACTTAAATCCCAAAACAACCTTCTCGCCAGTTTTCTTCGTCTAACTTAAATGTCTTTAAAATTACTAATTTGCAAATAGAAGATCAACAGCTGAGAATGAACAAGTTAAATAGCTTGCCAAATATACTTTTGTACTAAAGAATTGATTTATATTAGAGAGGTTCAATACTTTTTCAAAAGGAATAAGCGAGCGCTGCTGTAACAGCTACATTAATTTGACTTTAAGACGCGAGTAGATTAAGAGTTATCGTTCTTGTTTGAAGTAGTTCTCGTGTTCATACGCCAATATGGAAACCTTCGTGAGGGACACGAGCATTCGTCACCACTCGCCCCTTTCCGTTACCTGCAAGAAGATTTGGCTTGTCCCGGAATAACATGAGTTGGTCACGAATGGGGCACGAGTTTACATTCGGCTTGTCCCGGAATGGGAAAGGAGTGCCAAGGGAACGCTGGTTGCGTCCCTTTACATGCGATCTTAACAGAATTTACAAGAGATTGCGACCAGTCTGCTAATGGACGACCATCAATATGGCCTTCCTTGCCTGGTTAAATGGTCAGTTTTATATCAGCAGTAAAGTGCCTCGGGGCATTCAGTTACCCGGATTTCTACTTCAATGATTCTATGCAACAGATAATCTAGTTATCCTGGCGCTACAGGTTAATAAATAGTATCCTAAAAAAATCGGTTACAGAATAAGTAACAACTACGACGCAACTTATTAATACCATTAAGCCTTTTCGTCCAATCTTTTCGTAATATACGTATATATACTTTGAAAGTATTGCTATATGGTCATCATCTGCTACCTGTGGTATTGTAATGGACCTGTGGCGTCCAGTTGTAGTGACATTGTGAGGTCACCAAAATGGTGGCAGAGGCAGCTCGGATTTTGTTTTAAAAGATAACTTGTTCCAGAAAATACCCACGGGTGTGTCTTTACATCTTTACGACCTACTATGCCTGTCTCCTTGTCTAAACAAGTTGTTAAACAAATGCAAATCAAATGAAAGGTACACAAATAAGAACAAGAAAATAATTCTGATAAATTAAATTTATTGTGCAAACGTTAGCTGTACAAATGTCAAGAGTTTTCAGGGATGGATATTTTACAAACCTCCAGATGCCAAGCAATAATATTTTACAAATACCAACCAACAAAACAACATCAACATAAACAATTCGGTGAAACGCTAGCCCTTGAAACATATAGTCACTGAATGGAAACTGTAATACTGATGCGGTCTGATAACTGGAATGATCGAAAAGCCAGAATTTGTATCTGCGCATGTCAGCTGGTCATGCGCATAAGTCACCGGATGTCCATAGCAAGACGGCAGGGTCTTACATTTTGTTCCCCTGGAGCAGGTCAATGTCGATGGTAATACATGAAAGACAATATGGTGTCTATTGCGACTGTGTTTGTCGTGTAGGCCTCTTAGTTGGCAAGATTAAAGTAGGCATAATACTGTTAGAAAACTGACCTGGACAAAATACTAAACTCATCCGGTGTACTTAAACAAATTCTGAACAGATTGTAATGATGGTATGAGTAAGTGACTTGGGTTGGTTACAAAGCGTCATATTCTAGCATACACTAAGATTGATTTTGATTGGGCAATATTCTACTCACGGCACACTAGGGGATACAGTAAATCAACATGTTTCAAAACAAAGACAGGAAAGATGCAGTTCTTACAATGAAAGACACATGTTTACTCTCTGGTAATAAACTATTTCAGAATTTAAAAAAAAATATAAAGTCAATATATTAGATTCATCTTCGCCCGAAAACAACAAATCAAAACACTGAATTGGTACCGGTTCCTGGGGTTACTTATGTGTTCATATATCACAGTAATTGTGTGTATATACAGATTATCACACGCTTCAGTGGAGTAGGTGACCTCCACTACCGGACTATTGTATAAAAGCTTGCGGACAGAAGATGTTGAAGGGCATTACACATAATATATCGTGAGAAAACAGACATGTTCACAAGTACCAAATAATTTGCAAAAACACAATACGTTTTCACACGTATCCTTCAAATCGGTCAGCTGACCTAAGTCTGTCACAGTGCAGTATGATACAAGATGCAAATTGTTCAAATTTCCTTGGGTAGAAATTGAGCACAATTATGAAAATCCTAGGCTGGTGTGCACGTCCCTAGCAGGTAGGCATCTGGAATATGGGTCCAACTTTGGGGTCCATGGGGAACCCTTTCCTCATTCCCATACACCACTGGGAGTCGATGCGGAGACTGTTGTCCTTGACGGAGATGTCGTGTTCCAGAGTGGCCTTGGTCTTCATGAGACGCGCCAGAGACAGCTCGGAGGACTTAAGACGCTCCTTCAGGATGCGGACAGACTCGCGGATCTCGTTCACCTCACGCTGTAGTCTGAAAACACAACGGAGGTTCAAGAGGGGCGCCGTAACTTAGGTAATAACGCTCTGATTACAATACATGTGTTACCAGCAATCAAACTTTAGAAAGACTATCCCCTAAATGTTTAATGTTACAACTTACAACTGATTTTGTATGTTCATTGTTCGTTGTTCGGACTAGGCCACTTTTAGCAAGGTTCCAGCAAGGTCATGGTGGGGTCACAAGACATTAAAGCACCATTTAGCAAGGGGCTAATCCAGCTCCCCTTCAGATATTGCAGTAGTCGTGTAAATATCCCTTTGTTTGACGCCAATAGCAGCAAGTCAAAAGAGGCTCTGAAATACATGGAATTAGCCTAAGGATGTATTCTCCCCAATCCCAGAGTGGTTCCATGTTACAAATGTACTCACGACTTCATGACGGGGTCGTTGCAGAGCTCCACGTGGATTCTCCTGGTTCGCTCGTCAAGACGGGTCTGTGCGACCTTCATCGGGAGCTCCTTGTCCTGGATGGCCTTCCTCAGCAGCTCGATGTTCCTCTCCATGTCAAAGATCTCCTGCATGGTCTGGAGGAAGAGGGAGAAGAAAGGGGTTACATGGAGCATCACAGGCAGCCCAGACATTTGAGGACATCTCCCATCTTTTATGACATGAGTCACTATAGTTTTAATGTATATAACATTTTACCCTCTGCAAGTGAGCCTGCAGCTTGTTCCTAGCATCTGTAGTCTCACGGATCCTCGTGTTGAAGTTGTTGTTGACCGAGTTGAAGTTGTTCCACATCTCGTTTGCACATGCGCGGAGACAGGTGTCGATGTCGCCTCGCAGTCTCTCGGAAGCTGCCCTCTCCTTTTGGGACCGGGCGATGTTCTCCTGCGTGTAGCGTGCCCAGGACACAGGAATGGAAAGGCTGGGAAAGCAAGAGGGCTTTATTACAAATAAGCAGTATACTACGCGGTGTCCATTGCTTATAGTTAGAGGTCTTTACATGTCATATTACAAGTGTTTCTTTATTAGCAACCATCTATGTTGATATTCTTGTCATGGGAAAAGAGAAAGGGAGGCTTTTGTAAAATTAAAATCACATGGTCATGGCGAAAGAGTCCAAAGAGAGAGTGGACGTACGTGTTGTCGATGCCCTCAATGCCGGGGTAGTAGCCTATGCCGGCAGAGCTGTTCCTGAGCTGCTGCATACGGTCATCCAGGTTCTGGGCGTGGTGTTTGTCCTTGGCGTCAATCTCCAGAGCGTGCTGGGCAGCGCGGTTCATCCTGGAGAGGAACAGACATTAGTGAAGCATTGCAGTACAAGACAGTGAGAGTCAAAGATTGACCAGTCTTTTTTCAGGGAGTAATCTGGTCGTCCATCCTGACAATCGCTTTTATAAATACTTCTTTCAACACACTTTGTTCTGCTGCTCAGGAGCGACATATATGGTCTTTCATCCATGATGCATTATGAATCCCTTGTTACAACCGGGCCTACAGGTTGATCAACTCCAGTTAAGTCATGTACAACTAATTAGACTGTAAATAAAGAGATTACCATACCCATTAGAAGTATCCTCTAAAATCAGAGTCCGTTGTTCGATTCCAACAATATCATAAGTATGACGTTTATGAATCACTATCAAATAGTGATGATACCAGGGGTTCGCTGAAAGGCGTGGCACCCATCACAAACACATGCAAAGTCAGTATATTTGCTGAGGTGTTTCAGGGCTATGTAACTTACTTGAGCTGGACAAAAGCCTTCTCCAGGACCTTCTTCATCTTAGACTGGCACCTCCTGATGATGTCAACTTCCTGGCAACACACAGTGATGGACAATACAGACATGGTACATGCAACAGAGGTTCCTAATCCTTGGACGAGTGTACATGATGCACAACTACATATAACATTATTTGGTTACCTCTTTTGTGCCTTCCATGATATTCTCTTAACATAGTGAGACAAAAGTGAGTTTATACAGCTTTCGTATAGGAAGGTTATATATTTCATGATGGCAACTGCTTCTTAATTTAAGAAATTTATTGATTATGTTTGGTTTTGTATCGACTGACCCTGATGAGTGTCTTCTCCACTTCATCATTGACGAGGTCAATGCCCTGCCTCTTCTCCCTGTGCATGAGACACTCCTCGGCCACGTGCAGGGGGTTGGCGGTGTCACCTAGAGCCTTCTCCAGGGTGCGCTTGTACTCCTATGACACACGTGTGGGCTGGGTAACTAGTGCGCCATCATATATATACACAGGAATAATTCCTGTTACTTCACAGTCTCAATAACTGATAAAAATTGGTAAAGATATTTGTGTTTTACACAATACACTGGAAGAACATGATAGTTACCGTTCATATAATATTTGGCTAAAACTGCGTATATACGTTACTACCAATGTATAAGATCATGTATAGATTATGTCAGGGGTAATATCTAAGGATGGCTTGATGTATAATATAGGTATCTGATTACATACTAAAATTTAGTATATTGTCATATAGAGGCTATGGAAGGTAAAAGAGTTAAAGCTTGTATTAAAAGTGATTGCAAAAAGAAAATCTACGTGCCTATCCTGAAGATGAAAAAACGACAACTAGAAAAGTAAATCTACAACGGCTCTAACGGAAATCCTAAATCAAAGACACACATTGACACATTGACAAATCTGTTGTACATGATTCTCCTGGTTTGACGGTCAGTACACGAACACACACACGGACAGCAGCAGCCGACCGACATTACCTTCATATTCTCAGTCTCGATGGCCATGGCGTTAATTTCATTGTTAAGTTCGCTCTTCCAGAAGGTGATGTCATACACCCTCTCCCCTGGTAGTAGGAAACAACACCATTGGTCAACTACATCTTACACCGAGAAAATAAACATCTGCGCATGTGCATATCGTTGAGTCATAAAATATATAGGCTTAGCCACTGGTTTGATATCTGTTTTCTAAGCACATGAGCATATGTTTGAATGTGTATGAGTGAAAGGTAGAGAGAAGCGTGTAAGAAGTTAGCAATGAGCGAAGAAGCGCCACACATATGTGGCTGTATACCTGAAGACTACCAGTCTCTCTCTCCACACAATCTAGTTCTTTGTTAAGTTCGCTCTTCCAGTAAGCAATGTCAACCACCCGATCGCCTGCAGGAACAGAGCGGCCAGAAGGCGTGAGCCACAGAACTTACACCCATGTGTTGGTAGCAATACATTTTACACAAAAAATTAATCATTATCTAAGATAAGTAAAGTTTTTTTTATAAGAATTTTATAAATAGTATGGTAAATATGAATATCAAAGTAGTTAATCATAAAGGAGTCGTTAGTTACATGACCATTGCCTCTTGACAAGATGTCCCTACCCCCGGGCAGGCCGGCCCCATGTCTCACCTAGCCTCTTGGTGACGTCAGTCTGCCTGTTCCTGGTCCTAGCGTCTGTCTCCTTGACGGCCCTCCACGCATCAGCTCGCAGCCGCTCGGCGAACGACCTCTCCTTCTCAGACAGGTTGAAGTTGATGTTGTTGGAGAGGGACCAGTCGTTGTGAGAGTAGCGGGAATACATGCTGCGGCTGTAAGGAACACGTCATTCAAACATATCACTGGTTGCAGGTGGACAGATAGCGTGTCTTTTGGCCGGGCTATGTGAGGCCGAGAAGAGGATGCATACAAAAGATGGGTTTAACACTGATACAATAGTTCAGTTATACAGGGTATCTACTTGACGTAGGAGTAACGTCATTCTGGTACATGATCTTGACGCTTACCGCACTGGTACAGACTACAAGTACGGGCACATCCAAAACTAAAACTTAAACTTAAACCCAGCAGATCCTGCAGACTAAAGGATGCAGTTGTGGGATGACGTCGGCGCCTGGTCAAGACAACCCCGGGGCTTAACGTAGAGCCGTTTAATATCCCATGGAGGGGTGGCTTTTAGTTATTGAGATCGGATAAGTTGAAGATGGGAGGATAGGGTACTGGTAAACTTTGACTGAAATGGGGTGAGGCTTGAGGGTTGGGTACTTACGTGGCTGGGTTGAAGTAGGACTTGGCGTGGCCCATATCCATGGAACGGCCTGTCGCACCAAGATGGCGGGAGATGGTCTTGTCAGTGACGTAAGGAAGAAGCTTGGACATCTCGGCTGTCATTGGGGTAGCACTGCGCGTGCGCACAACGGCGGGATAGTCGTAGTAGGACATGCTGGGGGCAAGAGCGGGATGAAATACAGTGACAACATCTGAACACCACATCGGGGCTATAATGAAGATGTCATGGTTCATCCAGTACACATTATGGAATCGGCGTACTCCCAAATACAACTACACAAAGCACCTGAATGTTACCAACAGAATACTTGCATCAAATAACGGAAGGCAGTTACCAAATTCAGGTTCTGACTTTTACGACAGCCCCAGACGTGCAATTGCCATACACGGAACTAACGCCGATGAAGAGGAGATTGCTTCGCCTTAAACTACAGAAATCAACCAGATTTTATTAAATTTTCAAAGGTATCAGTAATTTGCTTTTTGTGAACACAATAAGTAAGTCCAATACCTTGGGATTACTGAGACGTGACATTTCTGTAGGTTGGACAATTGTTCAGGATTGACCCAACTTAAGTCCTTAAGCCGGCATAACACCGCTTGAGTCCAAGCTGATAACATTGTTATAACCAGAATTACAGCCAGCAATTGCTGCCTGAGTGTTCTCAATACCTCCACTTGACACAGTCACTGACTGCCTCACAACCACGCTTTATTCCTCTGTAATTATTTTATTCCTGTACCGATTACGTCTGCTAATCGATCAAATCGAATGTATTCACACAGCATGATTACTCTTGTACTGATGTTACGTGCCCGTGCATTGTGACGTTTTAAGACCATGCTACGTTCAAACGACACAGTTATCACGAACGAGTCCTCCATGATGGAGACATGAACAGGTTAACCAGGGCCATACTTTGGTGTCAGTTCTACACACCAAGAAAGGTTTATGACACCCAAAAAGGTATATTACATGTCTTATCTGTATGGATGGCCATCATGCCGATAGGGAACGAGATACAGCACACTCCACTTTCAATATTAGGCTTTTGCATTTAATGTCAATCAATTGGTTATTTTGAATAAATACCATAGTGTTAGAAGTCAAACCTAAAAAAATAATAATTCAATCTCATCCATTGTTGTTTACCTAATGAAGAAATGGCATGCAAGTAAACGTCTTGGGGAATCACAAGTAAGAAATTGCCTTCAAATACTGGCCCGCTTTAAAGATTTTGCAATTACGAAATAAGTCAACAGAATAATCTTTCCTCCTCTGTCTGAAATTTTGGATCCATAAGTCAGGAATTAAAAATAACGCCTTAAAACGTCACTTTTGCTTTGTTAGCATCATGACTACATGTGTTGTCAAATAATAAACGTCAAACTGATTGTTTTGTCTAATTCCATCATGCAAGGCGCCATCACTGTGCCGTCAACTCAACACTGGCGACTACAGCCAGGCTGGTGCCATGTTGAGGGAGATCCCATGACCAAGCCCTAGTATGTGTCCACCAGAACGTGGATGTGCACATAGGACAATAAGTGCACACGCTGTTTTCATAATGTCACAGGGCAATTGATGTGACGTGCAATGGCCCCGGGGTTGTGTTCGATACTAGCACAGCTAGAACACGGATTGGTTGAGCTAATGTTCAATGACTGGTGTTGTCAAAAATTATTTATACATTTAAAAAGTCAATTCAGGACAGACTTTATTTTACACGGCCATGGTGAATTATGAGGTCAAGTATATAAATGTTTGAAGTATGTCCATTATGTAGAACAACTTGGCTAAAAAGCACCGTGTTTTCATTTATCGAATGGCATGTATGAAATATTTTCTATTTCTCCAATAACACATTTGAAGTATTTTCCATTTCTCGAATAACATATTTGAAGTATTTCCTTTTCTCGAATAACACATTTTAAATATTTTCTATTTCTCGGATAACCTCAACTCAACACCAGGAACACACATAGTCAGGTGGTATACATAACTCTATCCTATGTACATAAGCCGGTCGGTCTGCGACTGACGCCACAGATATTGCCCCCTGTATCTGTAGATGATAATTACAAACTTGGTGCACGGGACTGGTCGGCTGATGTCAGAATGTTTGACGATCAGCCACAGACACCACTGCATGAGATGTCACGAGGGACGCCATGGATACATCCACTCACAACATCCTTATCTACATCATCTTATCTGACGCCAGAGCTTCATCAGCCGCGACTTCCACATCGTTGTTTTATTCATCACCAAACACCGTCAATGGCAATGGTATTGTCTACTGTATAGAGTCAAATTCAGAAGTCGGTTCTTACACATGAAATTCAATCAAGTATCATCTACAATATTATAATGAAGTCAAGGCGATATGACCAGAGTATTACGTTGTATGTAACTACTATCAATCGCCAATGGTAATATGTTGAAATCAAATACTGATGTCCATTGATGCCAAGTCTAGCACAATGGTCAACTGGCTTTTGGCAATACCTGCCATATACTACAATGAGTGACAGAAAGACTCACCGGCTCATGATTGCTGAATAACTTAAGCAATATAAACACAACGTCTGATGTGGTCCGCTGTGCTCAAACAAAATGCTTCTGTCGTCTGCAAACCTAATCTACCCGAGCAACCATGTTGACATAGAGACTTCCTAGCAACAAGTCACGTGAACAGCGCGCGCAATATCACTTCCACTTCCGGTGAAAGTGGCTTTTAAAAATAATGAAGTATGTAAGCAGATTTGTTTTAGCAGCTTACATAAGTTCAGGCCTCTCGAAATATTTGCCGCCCTTTGCCCAAGTGCCATCTGCTCATCGGGACCTGACATAACAATATCTTGATCGTTTTCAAGTGACGTCAGCTCTCCAGACTAGAGATCGGCGTCTCCCGCGTCTCCCCGTATGTTGCTGGGGGAGGTGATAAAGTATTGCATGATTTATTTGCCTCTGCCAGAAGGGAGATCAACATGTCATATATCTCTAGATAGGACGGCACGGGGCCCTGGAGATGTACTCGAAACGTCAAACTGATACCTCACTACAATGGTCAAACTTTTAATTACCCCGAGCAAAGCCCTAGGTGGATGGAACAGTGCCTACTAAATAGTATAGTTTCGATGAGGGTAAAGCTTAATGAAGGCTTAATGATTCATGCGAGGGGAAGTCATCTCTGATCCATCGCCTCCAAGAACTAAACGTAAAGGTTCCACGAACACGTTATCGTAAGTATATAAACTTTCCTTTATGGTTCATTTCATTCAATTAAACACTTCAAATTCTGAAATGATTTCTCTAAGTAGATATACATTTAATTTTTGTGGTTAAAAAACAAACACTGTTTATAATAAAAAAAAGACATTTGTGAGTACCATGATGCGATACATTATATATAGGTAGTAAGGAACACGGCAACATAGCTGGCTATCGTGTATCGATCAAGTGTTCAATCGACTCCATGGCAACAAACGACGTTGCTAGCTTGGCTTGAAAAATTAAACAGAAACGTTGTCTAATTACTCCCTTGCTGTTGTGAGCCTCTTATATCCAAACATGATAAAGAGAAATCAAATCCACCGTGGGCGATCCTCTGTAAGGTACATGGTGATACATGTGTGGAAGGACGAAGCATATTTCAGAGGTAATAATCAAATGTCTTGAAATTCACCAAGATGTAGTTTATCATTGACCATGTATACACTATAGTGAAGGCTGATAGATGTGTGTATTCAGATAAGAAAGGTCGTTAAGTAGACATACAAGACACTATTCTGTCGTTTTCGAATGTCACATGAGCGAAAGATGACACGTATGGTGTATTGTCAAGTTTTTGTCACGTCTCGTATATAATTAATGTTCTATTCATAAGAGATAAAACTTGTTTTCTTTCCCTGCATCCCTATGTGTTCCAGTTGGTTTGCTGGGACCCCCCGCGAGACCCATGGGAGCCGGTTGCCTTAGCAACCTACACAACCCAGCATCTTTACTTGCTTCATATTCAAATATTGAGTTTTTTAATTGATACTTGTTTTATAGATGTGTATACTGGTTTGTTCTGGTTGAATTCACCAGGAATCCTTCTTATATTTGCTTGTGATCTTTAAGAACGTGTGATCGATTGCTATCCTTGAACATATCATAATTCAAGACAAGGGTATAGTGATTGATTAATTAATCTGAGTGGCTGTACGTCACGTATAGGTACCCAGGTAACAGAATATAGGATCCTAGGGACGTTCAGTTACCCTCAGCTGCCCTTGACATGACCAAAGGGGGAAAAGTTAAATATGATACAATTTACGAGCGCGACACAAGGTCCCTGCTGACACGTAACCTCGCTTCAGAAGCACTTGAACAGCAGTAAGTGTTTGTACTGCAATCATGAAGGCTTACAGTATTAATTTGTCCGAGTAGGCTGATGGTTCAACGAGCAATAATCAGTACACGCCGCCCTTGTTCGGAGACGTGGCGGTTTGTTGACAGTTGGTCTGAGTGTGATGCTCTAAGGAACTGTTCTCACGCAGATATCCCCAACCCATGTCCCTAGTCGCGAAACAAAACCTTGATTTGAATGAATTGCCCATTAGCTACATGTGTATCACAATACCAAAGGGAACCATTCACCCGTACAAGTATAGGACGCACACGTTGTACGTTAAAGAGATATTATTATTTTTCTGAACAGAGACCTCGACGTTTTTTTTTCGGGAAGCAAAAACTAATTCAGTCTCGTAAGCAACTGTAGCGGCATAGTTTCCGCAAAGAGAGATTGTTCTTTCGTAAAAAGGCGAACTATCATTGTTTTACTTTATTGAACTATTTCAAAATAGATTCTTTTACCGAACAGTGCCATAGTAATGTTTTGTTTGTTTATTTTTTTTGGCCAAACAGCACTCTGCCAACACATTGCCAACATGAAGTTCTCCATGAACTGCTCAGATTCTCGTGTCCTTCTGGTACACGTCACCCTCATTTTAACACCTTTGGGGCAGACCGGAAGTCATCATTCACTCATAGATCCGCGAGGGTGTTCTGATGCGGCCTCACCCCTGGCAGCGTGCAGAGACAAATCACCGACTTAGATCACTAGATCAATACACCTCCCGACACGCGAACCGGCTACCACTGGGGCACACTCACATACATAATGTACCATCTACTGCCGGTAGAATAGCAACTCCGAGAAAGTGACTAGCTTTGTGTAAACTACACGTGTGTTTAATCAGTTGTGATAGCATTACACGAATCGTTGTTCATGTTATAATCAATGGTAGTTCTGCTAAATATACAGTATTGCAAGACTCTCAGCCTATCCATACATCCACGTGAAAACTTCCAAGTATTCTCAATACCAGTACGACATAAAGCAATCAGTATGGCTAACTTGAATTATGGCTAACCAGATTAACCAATTTTACTAATTCATAACGGTAGGGATTGACTGCGGCTTTAACCGTTGTCTTTAGGGACAGGTTGATCTTCGTTTGTAATACCTACAACAGAAATATCAATTCTTCTCAATAGTTAACTTTCAAAGACGAACCCTTTCACACCATTTACCCTTTCAAACCATTTTACTATTTCACACCATTTTACCCTTTCAAACCATTTAACCTTTTCAAACCATTTTACCTTTTCAAACCATTTTACTATTTCACACCATTTTACCCTTTCAAACCATTTTACTATTTCACACCATTTTACCCTTCAAACTATTTTACTATTTCACACGATTTACCCTTTCAACCCTTTTTACTATTTTACACCAGTTTACCCTTTCAACCCTTTTTACTATTTCACACCAGTTTACCCTTTCACAGCATATAGACGTTGTTAGAAGACATACCCTCTTCCCAGACTGACCATTTGTGAGCCATTTTGTATGTCGGTTTTAGAAGGCAATCCCTTGACGATGACTTATTTGTACGTGCTTCCGTCGCATTGTGGCTGTGTATTCTTGAACAAACCCAGTAATACATTGCAGGTTTATATTGGCCCCAAGTGAGATACTACATGGGTCTTTCACGCTCTTAAACAATAACCACAATACATGTGCCATTTGGATATCTACACCTGCGTTCCTATAGTCGTCGGTCACAGAGAATTGACCCAAAAGCGGTTAGCGTTGTCGTCTACAATAGACCCCGTAATCTCAGCAACACAGGCGCTCTGCAGAAGGTCAGGGCGTATGTAATCACACCTACAGGAACAATAGCTCAATGCAACAATACTCTTTAACTATAGCAGTCAGCTCGATAGTATAACTACATATTAGCCTTATGAATCCCGGGCTATTTGTAACACAGCATATGTTGCTATTATTCCATGCAAATCTCATAGATAGGTATCACAGCTTGGGAACCTTGCTTGCCTTAGCCAACATTTGTAAACGAGGTTTGTGGCTATGAATAGAGCTGTCAGCGCCCTGAACTGCGCCAGGGAAGGGCGTGTTGTAGTGTGTAGAGGACTCCCGACCCTCGGTGTTACCTGTCTCCGTGACGCTGTACTCACGGCGAATGTCACCCACTGGGAGGGGACCTGTCCCCGGGACTGACAGAAAACAGCGGCCTTTCACGCGATCTGAATGGTGATTCAACAACCATATGTCTACCCTAGTGTGTCTATAATTCACTGCTTAATCGCACGCCTTTACCTGGCTGCGAGGGATGACGTGACCGAACCCCATGTTAAACTACCCGGCTCTGCTGTACAAAGGCGTGTAACTATAGATTAATGATTAAATATTTGTCCTCACGTGTGTTACGGAATAGCATGATCAGCACGTTCGGGTACACTATTTTTTAACTGAACCGTTCCATGTCTGATATCAATAACTGAAAACTAATCGATTTAACACCGCATTAGTATATTTACATCTAACAATATTATTGTCAACAAACGTTGAAAGAAGCACGTTTTGTAATTGGTGTCGACATGCGTTGGAAATGAGTTTCGGGTGGGGGTCGGATGGGAGTGACTGCCGTGATGTAGGCGGGTGTGTGGGTTGCTTGTTAAACTGCGCTTTTGTGACTTCGTTTGTCTGGTGAGTGAGTTAAAAAGTTAACGTCACATTGGCATTATTTCAGCCATATAGCGACTATTGTTTGTCTTAGGCTCACGGGAACAAGTCACTTTGACCAAGAGGTGTTCCTGCCTGTGCAATGTATCAACTATACCAGAAGCGTGACGTCTCTATAGGTGACTATAGGTCGGTATAACCCCAGTCTAAGTGCATGATATAAAACGAGTGGGAAAACAGCATTACTGGAAGCACTCGTAAACTGCAACTCTCAATGTCGTATGTGATTATTAGTACTTGCTCTATACATATTTTCAGCACAGTGGTAAGGTGAATAAACCTCATCAGCAATATATACTTGTTTACTGTCAGCACCAGTGCTCGATGTCGCCCTCATCCCTAGTTCTGTATTGCCCAGCAGGCACACGCACGTAGTCACTACTCGCTAGGTCTGTTTCGTTTTGTCTGCTTTAAGAATTTGTAATTTGATTGATTACCTTTCTTGCGTCTTTTGATCGGGTTTAACGCATGAATAAAACATTCTGGACTGACTTTGCTCAAAGACGAATATTATATATATATTGTAAGAAAACATGACTTGGTCACGCAGGAAAGGATTTGATAGTTGAGATCCGATGCAAGCCAACAGGGAGTGTTATATTTAAACTAACATATATTTACATCTATAATACAGACATATATGACGTAGATTGTACGAGTGATTTTTTAAGTATTTGAAGTCCACAAATTGATTTGATTTATTTAAAAATATGTTTTATTCAATATTTAATTAAATTGATTGCAAAAAAGTTATTCAAGTAAGGAAACCTTCTCCTTGAAATTTACATTATCGTACTATCTTATCACAGACTGAACAAAAATTGTTATTTGGGTGGATATTTTCTGTCGTGAAGACTAAGCATACAATTTCATAAAAACACATTCCCCCAAAGTATCCTTGATCCCTAACTTTTTTGTTCAGTATATATTATGGTTCCACGGGGTTATCTAGATTGCAGTGAAACGTCGATGTAACATGAATCTTGTGATTAATTATTGACAACACTATGCACACATTTCACAAATAGATACGGCGACATGTCTGGGGTGGGTTTGAGACTAGTCAGACATGACGTGTGTCTGTAACCTGTACATATCGACGTTTGACTGAATGTCCGCTCTGTACTCAGTCACTCGTGTATCACATGCAATCAGCACGAGACAATTGGCGCTATTATGTAAGGGAGATAACCTATTGTTGTATTGATCACAGAAATCAATAATGCTATTGACGGGTATGGTCCCAAAAACAAATAAACTTAATCCTCTGCCGGGAGATCCGGCCACTTCACAGATGGCCGACAAACGACCAGTCAACAGAAATAGACCTTGATTTACTGTGTTAGTTGATCATATAAACATCAGGTTTAATGCCAACATACACATTATTGTGTGAATTATTGGCCCCTCTCTCATGAATATGTACTGAACAATCAGTGATAGTGATCTCAGTTGAAAACTGGCTTTAGAGAATCACCAAGGAAATTGAAGTGGTTTTTCAAGCCGTGGTCAGTAATACAATATTATATTCGCTTACATTACATATCTGCCCTGAAAACGTAGTATTACATATATCACTGTGAACGTGAAATCATGACATTTCACAAGACATTTGACATGGAGGCATGACATTTGACATTTAAAAAACTATCGTCAATCTTGAGAGATCTCGTTGCCGCACCCATACATGACAGTGATAAAACGAAGTTAGATCATCTTAGGTCACTCAATCATTGATTTCCACGTGGTATTCATGGTATCTGACTGCGTCTCGGAAGAGATCAATGTAAATATGAATATAAATTTAATATATCTACTGTCAACGTTCTACCCGTCGACTGCCACCTTATCTGTATGGCCTGCGGGAGATCGTCCTCGCGCCCAACAGTCCGAACATACGTTTACACCAGCAATGTACATAATCGTTTCAATATAAATAAGCAAAAACATCCTTACCCAATTCCAGACATACGAAATAATTATAACAGGAATACATCGTTATTTCAATAAATTAAAGTAGTTACAAAAAGTTATCAAATGAAATATATCACTTCGCCTTGGTTGCTAACGACATGGCGTCTTGTTGCTATGGGTCTGTGGCGCCAAATGAAGACCTGTCATTATATCTAACAAAGTGGATGGTGCCTTACAATATGTTTCTATGCATAACATAATTCAAAAATTAATAATTAATAAAATCTAGAATAATAACGCGAGTTGAACTCACCTGGAAGAGAGACGGTAGCGACTGACGAAGTAAGGTGCAGAGCGTTAGTGTGACTAGCTGGTTGGCGGACTGGGTCTTTGTTAGATCGTTGCCTCGATATCGCAGGCTATTTATACGGGGGCCAATGATATGCCTGGCTTGGTGCACTAAACTGTTACTTACGCCATGTTACGGACATCGACAGTATTATCCATGTTTGAGAGAGATTAAAATGCATTGTAATTTGAATTAATCCCATATCAACTGTTTTGCTTAAGCCAGATTTCACGCAGTGACGGTGTAGCTAGGCCTGTTGTTAAGTGGACTAGGGGATAAGAAGGTAACTCTGCCTCCAAACCTGGTATATAAACGTGGGCCTGTTTGTCTCCAGCACCCACTCTCTCAAGTCCCAGTCTCCACTCAGGATAACCTGTAGCCTGCAAGGTAAGAGAGGGTCACCAGCTACCCCTTGAACGTCGTTTTGACACTTTCCAACTTACCTACAGCTTTTCTGTATAACTCACTTATTGGATCATTCTAAAAATTAGATATATTCTGAAACATTTTTGGCGAGGGGTTCAAGTATCTGAAATGATACTTTCTTCCTAATGCAGCAGTAATCTAGACTTGCCTAGTATTAGTATGTGGGCTGTATTCGGTATATTTGCTTCAGGGTCTGTATGACAGACTAAGGGTACCCATTCAGTGATTTATTCCAAGAACATCGTCGGTGCCTATAACATCTTTGAGTTATTGCATCCTGATGCCTCCGTGAAATTAGCAATCCCAGTACGTATATCGTCAGTATATTGGCTTTAGGAATGTGATAGAGTTTAATCATCAACTTTTTCATCTCTCATCTATATGAGAACTATAAATAGTTCATCTAGAAGCATTTGAAAAAAAGTTATTATTATCATTGAGTTCCATGCCAGATATTGGCGTTGCTATGCAACCCCGACTGAGGGTGGACGTTACATAGCTCGCACCAGACTGCTCTACGGAACGGAGGGTATATAACGGAACCTAGATTATCATCCTAACTATTCTTGGTTTGATTTAATGTAAAATGTCTATCGAACAGTTACGATTACGGGAAAATATTAAAGAAATTAATACGAAATTAAAACCAATATTTTGATAAATGTTATATTTCTCTTCGGTAAGTAACGTTATTTCACATGGCACAATAGTACAAATATTTTGTTCCATCTTACTGGTGTTTTTTGCAAAAAAATAATTACACCGGTTTAATGTAATGTTAATAAAACCTCCATCTGTTGCCACTAATCAAGTGCTACACATATCTGATGTGGGGTGGGACGGCTCGCAGCGGGCGACTACACACGACCCATACAAATCCCCCCACGCATTCTCCCCCTGGAATCATCTCTACAGATACAGCAAGTGTATGCTAAATTCAAAGCAATCACCTAGATCGATGTTGACATGGGGTCTGGTTTAACAACAGAGCTATACTAGTGGTCAATCACACTTGGCATATGTCCCGTGGTCACCTCGGCGCTAGGACAATGGTCACAGTTAGGTATAGCCCACACCTAGATAATTAATTCTTTACATTGTCACAAAACCTAAATATTTATCAAACAAAAGTAAAGTGGATAATGACAGCTGGGCCTAACACGTGGTACTTGCGGAGTAAAGCATTTTTTTTTTAAACGGCCTCTCAAGTTTGTTAAGTGGTAGAGCAACTTTGAAGACAGGTCCAGGACTTTTCTTACAAACAGAATCAATACGCCTTCTCGTTTACTGAGCGATAGAGATGTCAACATGAAATGCCTCATCGATACTTAGTGAATTATTCAGTGATCACATTGATCTGCTATTGATCGCACTAGTATCATCATTATTATCGGCAGATTGTATACCGGGTGGGAATATATCACAAAAGTATATCATTTTTTATATCTTTCTAACGCCCGGCACTCTGATATTATCGAATAATAGGAAACCCCGGCAATGTTAACTGATGCATTTCAGTTCAAGATTCCTGCAACTGAGTCTCCGGTGTTATAACGGCAGCACAGTCTGTCTCCGAGAGTCGAGCTACCAGTGCATTGATCACTTCAAGTCGAAGCGACTCACAATATACCTCCGCCAGATTAGATCTCTCTCATTTCATTTCGTCACGGATTAGCGCTAACCCTTGCCCTGGCTTTCATTCTCAACAATTCAATCGTGTACGATCGGTTTACTCTATGTAGCCCCAATACAAACATTGACTGCAGAATGCACGAGTCAGTCAGTCGGACCATTGTTGGAACTCAACTCAGACCATAAAAAATATCTAGCGTTAGTAAATCAGGTTCCTAACAATATTGAATAATGTACAGCGGCATTATCACAAACCCACTTGAAGACATGCACACGCTGGTAACTATGTATATAATCTTGTGTTGTTGTTAAGTGAAGGGAATGGTAGTTAGAATTAGTGAACCCACTAAAGAGAGCCGCCTGGCACAACTCCCACGTCAAGAAGGGAGGTAACTCTCATTCTCTACCATGTTCCAATGGGCCTTCTTTGACTAATGTCGCCTGTAACATAACTAGTCTATACTACAACCCCGGTATTAATGTTTCATCGAGTGTATGATCTATTAGCAGGTAGTTACGTAAGTTAAAGGCTCTAATATCCCAACAAGTAGCAAATCGTATCACAAATACACGCTCTCCTACCCAGCACTACCAGCTGTAAAGCTATTACTGCCAACTGATCACCGCGCAGAATATAATGAATGGCACACACAGTGAATGTTGATAGGCAGAGCCGAGTCAATTCTGTAGACATACATCCTTGTGTTTACAATGTGTGTTTCGGTTTAATTGATTGTAAATATGTGATCCTTTTCAAAACTGTTTTACCAAACCGATACGAGTGATCATATTCAGTTTATCAGAGATCAAGCGATTGAACATCGCTGTATCCAACACAATACAAATACTCAAATATTGTCAACAATTTACCACTAACGTCTTGCAGCTTATCCGGTAATCCTGATCTTAAATAATTAGGAACAAAATCTGGATTACTCGTTGAGCAGTGATTACCTCCGCAGTAAATGACTCAACTATGTAGGTACTCTTGACACTTGCTATAGAAACAGTGGCCATGACGTCATGGGGGACTGACAACGATGCATGGCAAGACACTGACCTGCTCGTGACCTTGAAACACGGCAGTGAAACAGCAAGGGTGAGGTGATAGTCTCCACATCGCTGGGTTCCGTGGCTCTACTAAGATTATAGCCATGGTGTTTTCACACCCGGCTGCGCTTCATGCGATTACCAGTTTGGCAGTTTACCAAGTTTGATATCCAGTACAGGGTAATCCGATCTGGGTTGAAAGTTGGGGGTAGAAATCAGGTGGAGAAATAATAGCGTTCCGATCGACACGTGATTAAGAGTTCATTCATCCATGTGCCTATCCTTGCATAAACGGAGCTGGAGTTGATAAAAGACAATGTATCAATGTTCAGTTCAGTTCCCACTTCTGACGGCTTTCCTTATGTCCACCTTGCGGTATTATCACCTCAAGATGAAACTTATTGATATTTAAACCATGTGAGAAGACCTTAATTTCTTCAATGTTAACCATGCCACCATTTCCCCCCTCCAGCATGTCCTCCTACGACTTCCCATCCGTTGTCCGAACCCCCAGTGCCACCCCAATGACGGGTGTTCTACCCTATGTCGCCGACAAGACAATCACCCGCCATCTGGGTGCAGCAGGCGGGGGCCATGCCAGGTCCTACTTCAACCCAGCCACGTGAGTACATCTACCCACATCTAAACTGTCTCTGATTCCCCCTGTACCCCTTGATGCTCTGTAACTCCCTTTCTAATGAACGATACATGCGTGATCAGCATAGCCACACAGTACATAGCCCGCCCATCTCCGGCTGAACACAGGGAACGTACGGACGGTGCTATCCTATGTAATTGGGCAGACCTTTACTCATTAGTCGCCACATACCTACTCATTTATCAACGTGTTCATCAGCTGCCATATAACTAATTATTTATCAACTTGTAAATTAACAGCAACAGTGTCAACGCTCGCTACACCCATTCCGACTGGTCCCTCTCCAACAACGTCAACTTCAGTATGTCTGAGAAGGAAAGGGCGTTCGCCGAGCGGGTGCGTGCTGATGCCTGGCAGACTGTGAAGGAGACGGATGCACAGACCAGGAACAGACAGACTGACGTCACCAAGAGGCTAGGTGAGTCAGATGGTGGTAGACTACGTCACTCCGACTACCGACGTCTCTGTGACATGTTTACCTTCGTGTCTATGACATGTTTACCTGAGCTGTCTGCAGACACTTTTTAGGTTATCGGTTATCAATAAAAAAACAAGTATTTTACAAACGCAGGATCGTTGATCCCCAAACTGAAACACATTGACATTTACTTTACATTCTCACATTTACTCATGTAATATTACAAGTTATCACAAAGTGCCACCATGAGATTTGATAAAAAACATTTTTATATTTTGTCTTTTTATCCTAACAGGGGATCGAGTGTATGACATCGCCTTTTGGAAAACGGAACTCAATAATGAGATCAGCGCTATGGCCACCGAGACTGAGAACCTGAAGGTGAGGAATGATGCCGAGTGATGCCGAGTGATGCCGAGTGCGCGGTGTCCCTTGTTCACCTTAAGCTATTGAGAGGCTGTGTTGATAAGATGGCCACCTGTTTATCATTTTTAACTGAAGTCTTATTACGATGAGGCAAACTGGCCATGATAACCCATCCTCTATGTTTTCACCTTGAATCGCACATAAAGATGTTCCCATATATTCCAGGAGTACAAGCGCACCCTGGAGAAGGCTCTATCTGACACCGCCAACCCCCTGCACGTGGCCGAGGAGTGTCTCATGCACAGGGAGAAGAGGCAGGGCATTGACCTCGTCAATGATGAAGTTGAAAAGACTCTCGTGAAGGTCAGTCTGTGAACCAATTGCCAAGATAATCCAGACGCTAACCGTCTTATAGCCCATTTCACCTCGGTACACCCAGCCCGCAAGTAAAAGTCCGGGTCACCGTGACAGTCACTGAGTCAACTACTCCCCCCTCAACGTACCTGTAGATTAGCGTCTGCATGCTAGTGTCATTGCCAGTAGTGTAATATAGACACCTGTATAACTAACGTTGTGTGACGCACCACTGTGTAGTTATGCCATCAAAGAATTAGGAACCTCTGTTGCATGTACCATGTCTGTATTGTCCATCACTGTGTGTTGCCAGGAAGTTGACGTCATCAGGAGGTGCCAGGGTAAGATGAAGCAGGTCCTGGAGAAGGCTTTCGTCCAGATCAAGTGAGTGCCTTACACAATAGGAAGCAGTGAATGTTGTTTTACGCCGTAGTGAGCAATGTTACAGCTCTATCATGCCCCGTCAGTAATCAAGTCCAGTTCAATCAGGTGTTCATAACGTATTTAGCGGTGAGACGCAATCATGGAAGACGTACCTTGTAAGCACTCGATCCCCAATTTGTTTCTAAAAAAACACATAGCAAGATTGCAAAAATATAGTTTTGTGGCAGACAATTTCTTTTTCTTTCAACAATATGAAGCGTAATTAGTTTTTCCAAGGATTTTCGGGGACAATTTTCTTTTGCGATAAGATCCTAAGCCAGGGATTGATGCTGCCCCATTATACTCTTGGGATCATAAACAAAATTTGACAACCTCTTCAACAGCTGTGTATATGACAGGTAGTATTTTACCGTTAGCTCTGGGGGTCAGTACCTCCGGGGTATCAATCACCGTGGTTCACTGGTTACCTTCTCCCCACCAGGATGAACCGCTCTGCCCAGCACGCTCTGGAGATTGACGCCAAGGACAAACACCACGCCCAGAACCTGGATGACCGCATGCAGCAGCTCAGGAACAGTACTGGCGGCATCGGCTACTACCCCGGCATTGAGAGCATCGACAACACGTAAGTGTAATATCTTGTCACGTGTAATAACACATCGCTTGAGACGTCCTTTCAACCCAACTGTTCAGAGTGAAATATCTGTTACTGAGGTTTTCTCTGTTCTGTAGAATCACCCTCCCCGTGTCCTGGGCGCAGTACACCCAACAGAACATCTCCCGCTCCCAGAAGGAGAGGGCGTCGTCGGAGAAACTCCGCGGTGCCATTGACACCTGCCTCCGTGAGTGCGCCACCAACATGTGGAGCAACTTCAATACTGTCAACAACAACTTCAACACCAGAATCCGAGAGTCAGAAGACGCTAGAAACAAACTGCAGGCTCACTTGCAGAGGGTGGGTTGCTTTCAGTCACAGTTGAGTAGGGAAATATTTGTCGTTCTGCAGTGGTGCCGTGACTGATATATTGATCTTTCTCGGTCAGAGCGAACAATTCCTTTTTAGTTTTGTCTGGTACAATATTCGGTTTTGAAATAGCTTGAATTTCAAATGTTCGGATTTTACCGCATTACTTGCATTAACTATGTCACAATGGCTGGCGACAAGTTGAATAAATCTGCCTGATGTGAAAACAGGAAATAAAGTCAATTTTGTTTTCATCACCTAATACACCAAACAGGTAACGTGACCTTCGCATACAGTATATCTATATATGCCTCTTCTCCCTCTTCCTCTAGACCATGCAGGAGATCTTTGACATGGAGAAGAACATCGAGCTGCTGAGGAAGGCCATCAAGGACAAGGAGGCGCCAATGAAGGTATCCCAGAGTCGTCTTGACGAGCGAACCAGGAGGATTAACGTGGAGCTCTGCAACGACCCCGTCATGATCTCGTGAGTATATTTCCTCTAACACTACACTACATATCTTTACTAAAAAAATGAAAAAAGATAATGTTAATCCTAATCTCAATAAATGACAAATATTCCTCTCCTTAATTTCAGACTGCAAAATGAAGTGCGCGAGATCCGCGAGTCTGTCCGCATCCTGAAGGAGCGTCTCAAGTCCTCCGAGATGTCTCTGGCGCGTCTCATGAAGACCAAGGCCACTCTAGAACACGACATCTCCGTCAAGGACAACAGTCTCCGCATCGACTCCCAGTGGTGTATGGGAATGAGGAAAGGGTTCCCCATGGACCCCAAAGTTGGACCCATATTCCAGATGCCTACCTGCTAGGGACGTGCACACCAGCCCAAGGATAAACCGACTCTAGTCAGTCAATCAGCATTTACTCACCTGAGTCCTAGTTAACCTGTTATACATCAGCAAGTACATTGTAAATTATCACACCGACCTGGTCTTTTGACCTTGTTAGTTGAACATGTTTATCAAATAAAATGTGATAAAACAATATGTGATTTGTTATATGCTTTGGGAGACTGAATAACCCGTTGTGATCATTCCCTGAAACTAAAAGTAAACTACACTGGTCATTCATTCACGCTCGTCCGCTTCAAGTTTGACGAGCAGCTAAAGTAATACTAATTACTTTATGTTTGGAAATCAGCGATCAAATTCCCACATGTCCGAGCTACAGGTTTCTCCCTGTGCCAGATACATCGTCTACGGTCGCATCTCCCATACTTGAACAGACTAACGATATAGTCGACTAACGATAGTCGATAGCACTACACTCACTTTGTGAAACGTGCCTTGAGCAAACGTCTAATACTTCTCTGCCTTCCTTGGTCACTATCACATAACGTCTGACTTGGAAAAACACATGCCTAATGCAGTCAAACTTCAAACCAGAACGCCACAGACATCCCGATATATCAATAACACTTCTAGATTAAAATACACTTCTAGATTAGTGGCGTGGCTTCACGTTGGGAAAACAGTGTTACTTTGAAACAGAAAGTCTCGAGCTGCCTTTAAAAGATTTTGACCACAATTTAAGCAAATGAAGGCTTGATTTTTCTAGATGGAAACAAAGCTGTGTGGTCTAACACACATATCATCTTACAACGGGAGCTTGGTTCAGTAATAAGTGAACATCATTCTGCATTAAGAAGTGTGAGAACAGAAAAGAAAATGAATGGGCGTGTCTCTCAACATTTATCTATTTTTTTCGCAAAATCGTAATTCATAAGTGATAGACAGCGACAGTTACCTTGACCACTGTCATCGGTACAAACAATCATTATTCGCCTTCACATAATCAATGAAAGACCCAAGCGAGGTGTGTAATTTGACTGGGACCTGGGGAAGTATGAAGTCTCTTGATGTCAAGTACCCGATGAACCTACAAGTGAATGACCCAAACAGTGACCTCCAAATTGACAAATCATAACTGGTTTTAAACACTTGACTTCTAACCTGGAGAAAATGGTTGCTGTCGTCGCTCTTACAGTGTGTTTACTATGGTGATTGTGTGTTTCCTCAAAACATATTGGGGGGCACGGATGGCCCAGTCGTCCAAGGCGCCGCTATTCGCTGTGCAGAATTGCGTCCCTTGGGCACGCCAGAAACCTATGATTGTGGGTTCGAATCCCGGTTCGCCCGTATTATGTTTCTAGGTTTGTCAGCACCATACCCGTGCTCGTGGGTTTCACCGAAGTGGTAAACGTCTGAGACCTGCATCACTTCGGGCTTTCCTCCCACATTAAGCTGGCACGCCGCGATATAACTGGAATACTGTTAAAACTATTTTCGTTAAATCTTCCATAATAGTATTGTTCCCATTGAAAGCAAAGAAGTGTGAACATGTTAATTGTCAAACAATTCACTTGGTCGATGTGTTTAGAAAGTTCATATCTGAGCAGTTTTTATATGTGATTCTTTAACGAAATTATATTCTGTTCCATGGAATCGTGCGTTTATTGTGGCTCTTGGTCCACGTGTGTCTCCGTCAGTTATAACTCAAATACTGTTTCGATTAACCCCAACTCCTGTCGAAGGTGCTTCCCTTCCTAACGATTTTAAAAAAGAAATCAAACTGTGAATGTGGAATGTTGTAATGTCAAAGGTCAGTAAACTAAACGTGTGTATGGGGTCAGTGCTATTCACGAGTGGACGCCCATGGTGCTACAGAGTTAACCCAACTGATGCATGACATGAAGATCACAGTTCAAGTCAGGCCGAAGTATTTCTGAAACGGATGTCTTCAGTCGACTCTTGAAAGATGGAAAAGTGGCTGACAGTTTCAGTTCAAGTGGCAGTTGGTTCCATAGTGTAGCGGCCCAAAACTTGTCAGTTCTCTCACGGATTGACTTCAGCCTGGTTGCCGGGATTTTAAGCAGAGGTTTGTCATCAGGACGGACTATCTTGAAGGTGTATATTTCTCCAAGAGCGCCGAGAGATACTAGGTACTGTATCCTTATAGCATAGGTAAGTGTGAGATGATTTTATACTTCATCCCTGCCGGTTGTGGCAGCCAGAGCGGTCGTGTAATATATACAGAATCTCACCCGAGTGTCTTTTGATATCAAATATATCAACCAGTGTTTTTAGTGAGATTTTATGTATCATCCAATATCATTCTTAAATCGGAATACGTGGAAAAAAATCCAGTGATGTATAAACCAGATCGGGCTGCAATGCGGGCTGCTGTTTGAATAACACACTGAAGTTTACTGATGAAATCTTTTGAGATGTTGATAGAAATGTTATTACAGCAGAGAAGTGTTGAAAGTACTAAATATTTCACCAGGATATGAGTTGTTTCTACTGTAAGAAGATGTCGATGTTGGCAATGTTGCGAAGGTTACACCTGCACATCTTGGAGATTTTGTTAATGTGTGACTCCACAGTAAGTCCCCCATCGAGATAAACCCTAGGAGTCTTAACTCGGTCTCCAAGATGGACACGAGCCTCGCCATCAAGAATAGGAAATGATGATCATCAGATTCAGCGAGGTTCAACATTACAAATGACTTAAAGCTTTATTAAAGTTAAGGTTTTAACAACGATGTTAACGGCATTGAATATATAAGTAATTTATATTACAGTTCTATTTACAACATCATGAATTTACTACACCATGGACACTGAAATAAACCAAGTTCTCTGAAATGTCACCAGCTGGAACTTCTCACAGGTGAACACGGATTCTAACCAGCAAGTCTACTCTTTACATGGAACGCAAGACCTGGTTGAGTGACATATCACTGAGAAAGAAAGGAAGAACACACCTAAAGACATCCCATCTACATGGGACACTCACAAATAGTAACTACCACTTTCCACAAATAGTAAACTGTATCCCCAAGCACCAATACTCAGTGTGATCACTGGACAAGTCACAAACCCAAATGAGATCCTGTCTACATGGTTACACCCAGTGGTTGTAAAGGTCACAAAACCTATCTACAGTCAGACAACATGGCAGTGTTTATCCTCTTATAAGTCGTGGTATATGTTAGAAAAACACATTCTGAAAAGATATCCTGAGTCCTTCACCAAACATCCTATTATTAATTCTTACCAAAACGAAACAAAATTGAGGTTTGGGGAACAAAGCCACGCCATTTTCGGCCTGTGACCCTCATTTGTCCCTCAACGTGATAATAATATTTTAAATTTGATTATTAATTTATCGCGATAACAGGTAATTAATGACTTGCACCCCTTATATACTAAGAAAAGTTTATTACCATTATCCATGGTCGGTAGCCTAACAAAACTATAGACAAGCGCATGTCCCTGATTGTAATAGTGTCTCTCGCATAATTCTTGACGACATTCTTCAGCACATTTTTAGCAGCGTAACTTTCACGCTTACGATGGATATTATTTACAATGCAATTTGATAAATTAAGTATACTAAATGTTGCCCTGAACTTCAGTGGTTTATCATTGAATACGTCTCAAGATCATGGTGATAAGAAGGATTTTCTTAATAATATATTTCAAATAACATAGAAATGATTTTTGTAATTTTAAGTTGGCATTAGACTCTAAGGATTTTTCGGGGTTCCATTTGGATTTTATTTATTTTTATTTTGCAGATATATATTTTGAAATAAGATAGCTTTATTTTTGGGACATGCATACCACCAGAGTCGACTGAAGGTATTACTATCACGAAGGGGAGAGAAACAATGGACGATTCGTTTTGGATCAAACAAGAGGGAAGCTGAGGGTCCAAGACGCTGTGTATGTCATTCTGCAGTAAGGAGACAAAGACATACTTTGGTTTATATCAGTCAATATATTGTGTTGCATTGTTGAAAAGTTGCAAGCTGTTTCTGGGATATAAAAATATAACTTCGTATTTATACATTTGATATACTGAACCCATCATTGACCCAAAATTTCTGCCAGTGACTAAGTGTTAGTTAAAAAGCTTTTGATAAATAGTGTTTGTTAAAGCTGGAAGAGTAATCTCCCTTGTAAATAGCGGCACTAGGTGTTTTCGCCAAGACACAGGCAAGAGGGACTCAAGGGTTATCTAGATTTAACTAGTTTTAAAAGACTTCTATTTTTGTTCCACAATTGAGTAATCTTATATCCATAAACCAAGAAAAGGAATATAAAACGGCTGACAGTGTTTGTTTAGCACTTATATTACATCTTCAATCGTATTCTGATCATGTTCATATTCTTGCAGGGGGCACGGGGGACCCAGTCGTCTAAGGCGCAATTCGCTGTGCAGAAATCTATGATTGTTGTTCGAATCCCGGTTCGCCCCGATTATGTTTCTAGGTTTGTCTGCACCATACACGTGCTCGTGGGTTTCACCGAAGTGGTAAACGTCTGAGACCTGCATCACTTCGGGCTTTCCTTCCACATTAAGCTGATACGTCGTGATATAACTGGAATACTGTTAAAATCGGCGTTAAACATAAGTAACTCACTCATCTTCTCGCAAGCCGGATTTAGCAATGCTGTTCAACATTATCTGTCATATATGTATTAAAGGCCCTCAATAATATTTATTCTAACCAAAAGAAATGTTGATTTCCAAAATGAGGTTGACTCTGTATGGGGTTGTGGAGTGTGGTCAAAACTAATAGATAGTCATGTTAAAGGAAAGGTTTTATAATTATATTTAATATGTATCAAAGTATTGTAATGGAAACATATGTCATTCTTTGACTGCAAAAGAGAAGTAGTTCATTCGATCAAGGCAGAGGTATGTGAACTGAGAACAGAAGAAGAACAGGCAATTCTCAGACAAGATGTTGACGAAGTATCCAACAAATTAGATGAACTTTATTACTGGTCTGACAGTATTAGTGACCAAGAGTCAAGAGTAGAACACCAGGAAAGACAGAGCAGACGAAATAATTTGATTGTATATGGGGTACCAGAGGGAATAGAAGAAACTTATAAAGTGTGCAAGGAAAGGATACTAGACATTTTTAATTGAGCCAGAAATAAGAATCCTACTTATGAGGAATTTGCTGA